TAAAAACCATCAAAAATGTTATAAAATTCATAGTAGAGTTAACCACATTTAACAGTAACACTCAAAAACAACCAGTGGGCCAGTTCTGCCTCATTCATTGGTTCCCATGCTTGAGGGCAAAACCATGTTTTCAGGATTTTTTTGAAAGACCAGCAGGATTGGGAACAATTTAATCTCTGTGACTTCCTAAGAGAACATTATAAATGCTCAACCATGTGGATATTTTATGCATTTTTAATATTTTTGAACTGAAACTGGTTTTTTTAGCTTTTTCTGGAAAATACACAATGGTTCAAATTTTCTGCCTAGTGATTAACTTTCTTTCCTCCAACTCTGTGGCTTGATCTTTTCTGAGTAGTCATACAGATAAAGCAAAGCTATTGTAATGAATGATCCCACATGTCCTAGTGCAGGGGTATCAAACTCGATTCCATTGAGGGCCACATCAGGCCTATGTTTGATCGGGGGGGGGGGGTATGGCCAGGATGGGCGTGGCCATCTTGACAACACTCATGTCAGGGGTGCCTGTGGTGGCCTAAGTGCTCTGCCAGAGAAAATGGGCTCCCAATCTCTGTTTGGAGGACTGCCCTCCTGAGCTCTGTTTTCACTGGCAGAGGGTTGCAGGAGGCTGTCCCAGCCAAAAATGGAGATTGGGAGCCCATTTTCACTGGCAGAGACACCGTGGGCCTGTCCTTCGCTGTTTCCAGATCTAAGCATCCTACGGGCCAGATGTGGCCTTCAGTTTGATACCTCTGTCCTAGTGTATGTCTATGATTTATATCTATAATGATTCCAATATGGGCTAGCAGGGCAATTAAGAGAAAACAGAAGGATTTTTAAAAATGAATATACAAAGGGATAAATAGTGAGTAGGTAAGAGGAGGATAATACAGTAGTCCTCGACTTACGATCACAATTGAACATGTCATTTCTGTTGCTAAGCAAAACAGTTGTTATGCTGTGCCCTGTTTTATGACCTTAGAGCCAAGGTGGCGCAGTGGTTAAATGCAGCACTGCAGGCTACTGCTAGATCAGCAGGTCAGCGGTTCAAATCTCACCGGCTCAGGGATGACTCA